TTCTAGTACTTGAATTGTGTAAGAAACGGCTAAAATTATGAAGTGGCAGAACACTTAAAGCCAATGAGAAACTCTAAAAGTAAGACTTATAAAATTTAGATGCACAAAAGGAGGAACCGTATTACTTAAATGGTATAAGAACCAGCTTAGTGATAAAGTTACATAACCCTCTATTCTTCTCGGTACATCAGAGATTCTTATGGTTTATTACCACATGAGCAACTGAATACGAGAAGCAAAGAGAGATTAAAGCACAAAAGAAAATACCAACATAGATTCTGTCCATTTTAAGTATGTCTTACCCATCCGTTTGTTAGTAGTATAGTATCACCTGAGGGAAACTTGTGATCTTCATACGATATTATCATCTCTCCTACGCTCTTTCTGTTCTCCACATATATATAACTTAGCTAGACATATACATCATCCTACTTCCTTGTGTATGCTTTTCTACTTCGTCTGCAACAAATCCAAAACCAAGACAAAGATATGAGCATCAACATCAGACAATACATACAAATTCCCGGCCACTCCAATATCTTTAAGAAAGTTTACCTTTATTACATACACTTCGGTCGCCTCATTCTTATCCATGAGAAAAAAACCTGCATACAAAATTTAAGGATTTTGTTATCCATATATATAGCTTGAAAGAATATTGACGAAGAGATTAGAGAGAGAGTACACTAACCCTTGGCATTTATGAGGTGAAATAGCCTACTGCATCAGATTATTGGTAGTAGCTGGTGGTTCATGGTCATTTCCATTAGTAGAGGAGACTCCAGCTTTTGCATTAGTTTCAGTAGAATCATTGGTTTTGTGATCATCGGTAGATGTTGCAGATGGGAAGAGGTTACTAGGAAGGACAAGCTTTATAGTGCTTCCAGTTTCGGGTTCAAGCACTTCACTCTCGTTAGTCCCTTCTTTTGCACCATTCGAGTAGTTATTGTTAATACTCCTTGGGTTGATTACTGGGTAAGGATGCAGCCCCGAGGTATCATCAACTACTGCCACACACAAAGCAGCAACATTAATGAGACTGGAACAACAGTTGATCAGGAAAGATATTAACCAATTTACATTCAAAACAGCATTGTTCACTTCACCGACCTGCTAAAGCATCTGCACCAGTGAGTCCGGATGGAAAATCAGGGCTTTCGTTGCTGGCAGATGAAACATAACCAGGAGATCCCATAGAGAAGCTACGGTGATGATTTGGTACTACATTATTCTTGAAGTCAGGAAGCTGCAATTTAATGAAGCGTCTTCTTTCAAGTTCAATAGCCCTCTGCAGATCAGCTTGCTCCATTTTCCTTCTCATCATCTCCCGCTTCTCATAGAACATCTTCGAATCTACCACATAAGAAGGGAAACAAGTTAGCTAACAAAAAAATGCAGAACGAATACCTGAAAAACCTAAACTCGTCTTTCAAACTAAATAAACAAGGATACTAACCAAGGTGAAAATCAATTTTTTCTCTAAGATCAATCCCAGATGGACTGGTACACGGGGATAAATTCCCCCGGTCAATCTGTTGTTGTAGTAGATACTGCTGCTTCCTGTTATCATTTCATTAACAATGACTTATTCAAACCCAAAACAGAAAGATCCTAGAAGGAAAATTCAAGAGAAAAAGACATTCAAGAAAAGAAAAAATAAACCATACTTGTCCAAGGCTTTTCCTTTTTCTTTGTAAGGTTTGACAAGAACACGTGAGTCGCAAATGAAATGGGGATTCCCTCTAGCTAGTACAGCCTTCACATTCTCAGGATGGGCAAAGGAAACAAAGCCAAACATACGCTTCTGTTGGTAAGGGATCCGCACATCTTGCACTGTTCCAAAAAGGCTTCATAGACAAGACGATTCATTAATGTTATTAAAAAGCACATCAATTAACCAAAGAACACCTAATTAATCAATAGTACTTAGTCTTTGATAATTCCATATTAATCTACAAGAGCATTATCATTATCCAACGCTAGTTTACCAGAGATGGTTGTCCAGAAATACCTGAAATAAGTTGCAACATCCTCATCCTTAAACGTGCTATCAGCTGGGAACGTTAAGTATATCTGTCTAGATGCCGAGTTTGACTGATCATCAAAATGCATTGCCATTAGTTCCATCCTCTCGAGCCGCCCTGGGCTGCTGCTCCAATATCTTTCATCACCAAAAGGTAGAGCACCATCTCTGCTTCAGGGATAAAGCACAAAACTTAATAATCGAATAAGCTAACAAGATAACAATCAAGGCTTTGATCCCGTCCAAGAAACAAAGTTGAATCCAAACAACTAAAGCTGGATAATTGTTGATAATACAAACAAGAGCCAAAGAGATATCATCCACAAGAAAGCACCATTCAACAAACCAGTTAGAAAATGCATAGTTAAATTTCTTCAAGCAGTATCAGGACCAACTCGAACTATATTGAAACAAATTAATTGGGCTAGTTCCAAATTACCTATGAGCATGCTGCTGCAAGAGAAAATTCATTCTCTTCTCGTATGGCGACAATGGAGCTCTACCCATGATTTGAGAAGCCAGCCTCTGTTGCTGTTGTTGATAAGCCATTTTCATCCTCATCATCTTCTCGTGCTGCCTAACAAAGCTTTCCATTTTCCTTGGCGAATCAGCGACAATGTCATTACCATCAACGTTATCCGGATATACTCCATGGATAAACTTGCAGCTTTCTCCGTTCTTGCACAAACCTCGACTAAAATACACACATGGTTTGCATCCATCACCAAACCCATCATCTCCTGACCCAAAAGACGAATCTGCCGAGAAACTCCTCCTGTGAAGATGGGTTTCGCCATTGTTGTCTAAGTAGTCCAAGGGAATCTTAGGATCCACAACATCCTCGGTTTTCGAACAGGAATCGTCGAGAAATGAGAGATAATCATTAAGCTGCTGATCATCCAGTAAATCAGCGTCAACACCAGCGTCTGTAGCAGAAACTCCATTGCTTTGGTGAGAGCTCATGGGTTTCGAGATCGATGCAGTACGAAGACCATCGAGCGAGTGTTTGGGGGAAATGTGGGCGTGGTTCCCATTATTAGGGCTGTTCACACTGTTGAGTGACCATGGAGAGGTAGAAGAAGGAGAAGATGGTGAATTTCTACGGAAATCCATAAACCCATTAGAGTGAGAACGTCCTCCTACTCTTCCGTTGATGGGTGGTCGACAAATAGGGTTCAACGGAGAAGGAGACGTCGGAGTAGAAGGTGAAGACAAGTTGTTCGAGAAAAGTCCCAACTGACTTTTCACTTTGAAAATCACAGATTGTAAGATTGATTCAGGTCCAAGAGCAAGACGCATCAAATCTCTCTCCTCAAAATCATGTAAAAGCAGATACCCAATGATCTTCGGAGCATAATCTGGCTCCAAGCTCCTTATTTTCGTCAAAACCAAAGTTGTAGGGTCGCCGGAATCCATGGTTTAGGGTTTCGAAACAGAGTAAAAAAAAATTAAAGATTTTTGTAGCAAAGTTGAAGAAATTTAAAGTAGATAAGAAGAGGGAAGATCATCCCTCCTCTTTGCTCGGTTCTG